AAGTGGCAGCCAGCGCACGAACGTGCCTTCGAGGCCCTGAAAGAAGCAGTACAGAACACGGTCACTCTGCACGCACCAACCCCCACAGGAACCTACATAATCGAGACGGACGCCTCCGAACTGGGAGTAGGAGCTCTGCTAAAGCAGCGTCAAGGTGACGCGGAAGTGCCGTTAGAGTTTGCTAGTAGGAAGTTCAACCCCACGGAGCGACGCTGGGACACGCGAGAGAGGGAGCTGTTCGCAGTTAAGTGGGCGGTAGAGAAGTGGCGCGACTATGTCAGCTTGGCGCACTTCGTCGTGCGCACGGACCACAACAATCTCCGCTACCTAACAAACGTCGACACCGGCAAAGTCTTCAGGTGGGCACTCGCCCTCAGTAACTATGACTTCACGATTGAGTTTCTTTCGGGAGAGCGCAATCATATCGCGGACTGGCTGAGTAGGTACGCAGGCAACGACGCCGACGACGACAAACTCATCGACCAGATGTCGTGGAGGGTGGCAGCCACGAGAATCGCCAAGCCTCTGACAATACCCCCCCCGCCGAGCAAGGAAGACTTCGTCGCGGCTTACAAGGAGGAAGGGGACCCCAACATCACCGGCCTCCACTACGACGGACTGTGGTGGATACATATTAAGACCGGCAGAATCTTCGTTCCCAGTAAGCTACGCACACGGTTGGTAATCGCGTTCCACTACGGACCGAGTGGGCACTTAGGAGTAGGGAAAACACGGAAGCGCGTCCAGTCACTGTACTACTGGCCCGGGTGCTCTCGAGACGTCGAGAGAATGATCCGCGAATGCTTAATCTGCGCACGGTTGAAGAGGCCGCCCGTCCACCAACTTCAAGTCCCAACCGGCAGTCTCGGCCAGGCAGCTGCAATGGACGTCGTATCGCTCGACCACGTCGGCCCCGTCCACGTAGGCGGCGTGAGCTGGAACGTCCTTGTGATAATTGATCACGCAACACGGTACATGCTAGCGAGGGCAGTCCCGAGCCTCGAGGCAGCTCAGACCCTCCGCACATTCTACCACTACTGGGTAGTGGCGTTTGGAACGCCGAGAGCGGTGCTCACCGACGGCGGCTCCAGCTTCAAGGGCGCGTTCCACACAACCGTGACCAAACATCTAGGTTGCCGACATCTAGTAACCGCCCCGTACCGTCCCCAGGGGAACGGCATCAATGAGGCCTCGCACGTCGAGCTGAAGAATGTGCTGCGCGCAATGTGGCAAGAAGGGCAGAGAGATGTAGGCAAGATGCTGGACTCAGCCACCCGCCTCCACAACATCACGCCGCACTCAGCGATAGGTACCTCACCGTACGAGGTGTTGTTCGGT